TATATTGCATGACGTGAACTGCTGTATGACAATGAACTTGATGCCTTGCCATTTATGTAATTAGTGACATCTTCTTGTTTTTTAGAAGCTTTCTACCAAAGTTTTAAAAAAAAAACATTGAAAACTGCACAAAATTTTTTTAACCCCAGAAACCTAGAAAATAAAAAAAAAAATAGTACATTGTTGAAGACAATTAATAAATTGTCAAAAGCAATTAAAAAATCTTGTGAAAACACATAATTTAAAAGGCCACTTTTAAATCACTAACCAAAAAGCAATATGTGTTCTACTTGAATTGAAGAGTGAATCCATAAATTGAAATAACAAATTAATTACAAAAAACTTACTAGAAATAAAAACCAAACTGTAACTTTTGAAGACTTACTTAGAAAATTCAAATTCATTGACCTAGTTATGAAGAAGGTGTAGGAAATTACGGACCACATACAACGAGTATAAACAAAGTCCAAATGCGGTCCTTACATTGAAGGGAATAAAAACGAAGTTCCAAATTCGGTCCTTGCATTGAAGTTAAAAAAAAAAAACTTTCCAAAAAAATTGGTGGAAAAGTGTAAACATTTTCACTGCTTGATAAAGTAATGAGTTCGAGAACCATATATATGAGTAAAAATGTAGAGTATCTGTGATAGCGATAATCTGATAAAGATAATCTAATATTTGAATTGATATTTCGAACTTTTGAGTTGAAGATTAGAGAGAGTTAAAAAAATAATTCAAAATTATTTATACTAATCCCCAGGAAATTTAGGCTTGACGATTAGGGTTAAGGAAAAAAAGGGTGAAAGAATGGAAGAGATAATTATGGCAAGATTATCTAGAATTGTAAAGGCAAGAGAAAAAAGAGGGATGGAATAGTGTAGGTTATTAGGGGGTTAACTCATAAAGCGCATTGCACCTACTTGCCCTGTCATTAAGCCATGTAGGAAAGAGACAAAATAAAAGGATAAGGATAAGAATATGACTTTATTATATATATATATATATATATATATATATATATATATATGGTATATATATACAAACCCACATCATTTTTCTAAGCAAGAAGAAATGAGACAATCTAGGTCTAGCGCCTCAGAATTTCCTTTAGCAAACTTCAGCCATAAGGGCCACAAAACTCAAATGACAGCATCCTTTTAGATGTCTCATTTGCTCGTAAATGCATCTCAAATAGGAATTTATATTTGACCGTACGAGTCAAATACATATAGTTAATTGGATTCAATTAACTTTTTCTTTTCCATAAATTTCGTGCTATGCACTATATCTTGATAACACACTTAATAATAAAATTTATTAAGAATCCTATTTTCAACATCAGATATTGACTTCTGTTATTAATAGTTCCTTTTGAAATTAGTTACTTTTCTATTTCTTGTAGTGATAATAATTCTTATTTACTTCGGTTCCCTATGTAGTACACAAATTATTGGCATGAATTTGGTGATATATCTAATAGAGATATTCATGTCTCTTTTATTTATATCAAATTACTTTCCAGTTCCTTTTTTGGGTAGGAAATAAGAATCATATAATATTAAAAATTCTTATAGGAAATTAGAATTGATATACATCCAAACAAAAAAGGAGCAAGCCACGTAGGAAACTACTTGCCGTCTCGTTAAGCCACGTAGGAAAGAGAAAACATGAAAGGATAAGAATAAGGATACGACTTTATTATATATATATATATATGATTTTTATAACATTCTTAATCCAATTCAAATTATATAATTTGAAAGCTTGGTTTTTAATGAAAAATTATAAGTTTGGAATTGATAGATCTTTTAATAATATATCTTATGTATAATTTGTATGAACATAAATAATTCAACTCACTATTAGTGTTCCGGAGCATGCAATGCACGTCGCTCATTCCCATTTGGATAGAAAATTGTTTGTTTGAAAAGTTTTCTTACCAATATAGTAATAAATCGAGTGTTATACTTTTTATAATACTATGTATATAAAATAATATCAAAACATCTCAAATAATACCAAAACCTCAATCAAATAATCCCAAAATAACACAAAAAAAATTCTCAAAATAATGCAAAAAATCCCTAATGAGATTATCCAAAAATAATTACAAAAATCCGAGTTAGGTATCAAAGATTCAGGTTTTAGATTAGGGTTTCATGGATTATCGTAGCTCTCAAATTGGAGCTTCAGAGATTGGAGTCCAGAAAACGAGAAGTCAAAGGTCAGATTTTTGGCTACAAATTTCTAGCTATAGTGGTGATGTGAGTGGTAACTAGACTGGTAGTGGATAAACAGTGGGTTGGAGTTAAGGCTGGTGATAAGTGAATATTTAACGTATATTTTGTACAAGTTTGACATGAACTTTAGGTATGTTTTGAGAAGATTAAAGCCATATTTGAACTTTATTGGTGATAATTGCTTAAATATTGTTTAAGTGTTCAAAACTTGATAAATGAGTGGATTAATGCATTAATTTTGTGAAATTGTGAAGGATATCGATATATGAAATTCATGCACGAGCTGAAAGAAGTGTAAGGATCATCCTGAGGATAAAGTACAAGAGAAACTAGGAGCAAAAATGAAGGAAAAAGGAAAGAAGTGAAAAACTAGAAATTTAATGGCACGGATCCGAGCTCGGATCCGTGAGAGCAAAGAGGGATCCGAGCTCGGATCCGTGAGAGCAAAGAGGGATCCGATCCCTCGTCTGTACTTCTGGCGGAGTGTATCCGAGGTCAGATGATCCGACCTCGGATGTATCATGGGAAGTCCTCGGATCATAAAGATTCGAGCTCGGATCCAAGGCTCGGATCTGTCTCTCTCTTCAGCAAGTGGCACGGCTGTTTTTCTCTATCTTTCTCACAACTTTTTCAGCTATTTTGAGGGACAAAAATCGGTGGCACATGCTTCTGCAATAAAAGAGAAGACCAAATGAGTTGTAGACAAAAGGAAACATCATATCTTTGACTTCTTTTTACAAAATCTGAGTGGAGAAAATTATGAAGTGAGAGGAATAGACTTTCTACCACCTTTTATGCAGAGACACAAGGGAGAAGCAAAATAGAACTTACGTAGCTAGTTTTCCTTCTTGTAACAAGTTTTCTCTCTAACTAGGAGTTCTTGGAGAAACATTTGGAGTTTTTACTTGTAATCATATTGTGCAAGAGTATAGCAGGAATTGGAGAGCTTCACCTTCAATTGACTAAACTTTCTTTTATCTTTCTTGTACTTGTACTTTATGATGTTTGGCATTAATAAACTTGTGAATTTGATTGTTAAATCATTCATGAGTAGTTAAACTTCTTAATCTAGGGAGTAGATGAAACTTATGGCTAAATAATATGAATTGAATGGGATTTACACTTGTTATATCTTGTATTAACTTGTCTACTTGTGTAGCTGTTATTACTTGTTATTGATTGATCACCAATAGCATGTTTATAGTTGTTATTGTTCAATGAGAATTGGTAGTAGCAATGGAAAAACATGAGTAGAGCTTAAGTTGTATGTTCATGAAAATAGAGATACACTTAAGTGGATTACTTAGCATTTCATGAAAGAAAACAGAGGAGTATTAGTATTTCACCATGAAAATAGGAAAAACTAAACTACTCTAGGCCATTTTATCATGAGAATGAGACTTGGTAATTTTGAAAATGAATCTCTGGTTAAACAAGAATAATAATAGGAGGTAAATCCATTCATTTGTATGTTTATGCCATAAGTGGAATCTACATCCCTAGAGTTTTTCTTGAGTAAGAATTCTTCATTTGCATTTAGCATTTGTTAAACTAGATTTGCAGATCAGATTTGTAGATTATAGCAATAAACTTTCTTTGTTCAATTTTATTGTAAGTCTAAATAATAGAGTAAAATAAGGGTCTAGTACTTGTTTAAATTGCTCCTCGTGGGATCGACCCGATACATTCCCTACATTACAATTTCGGCCTGTATACTTGCAGCTAACTGATATAAAATCGGATTTAAACTTGCATTGATATAAAAATCCCGTCAAGTTTTTGGCGCCGTTGTCGGGGAGCGGCAATATTAGAGCCTAATCATCTTTATTAATTTAGACAGCTTTATTTTTTAGTTGAGCTGATTATATTTAATCTTACATTGTAATCAAATTTTGACAATTGAAGTTGTATAATATCTCTTATTTCTATTTGTAGTGTATGCACCGGGCGTCTCGAGAAGTTGCACTTTTCGATCCAGAAATTGAGAGGACACTACATAAACAAAGGAGGAACACACCACAGCAAGAGGAACAAGAGATTTGGCAACCAATAGAGAAATCTTAATAGAGCTTTCATTTGAAGAAGAAATGACAGAAAACGAAGCAAATAGGCGAGTTCTACGAGATTTTGCTCTACCGGGAACACAAGGATTTCAAACGAGTATAGCAAAACCTTCGGTAAATGTTAACAATTTTGAGATTAAACCATCACTTATCCAAATGGTTCAACAATCTCAATTTGGAGGTAATGCAGTAGAAGATCCTAATTCACACTTAACTACATTTTGGAAATTTGTGATACAATTAAAATGAATGGAATTAGTGATGATGCTATAAGACTAAGATTGTTCCCATTTTTATTGAGAGATAAGGCCAAACTTTGGCTACACTCTCATGCTCCTAATACTTTCACCGGATGGGATGATTTATCAAGAGTATTCTTGAATAAGTATTTTCCACCAGATAAGACTGCTAAGCAAAGAATGGATATCACTAGTTTTAGCCAAGTGGAAGGTGAATCATTATATGAGGCATAGGAAAGGTTTAGAGATTTGCATCGGAAATGTTCACATCATGGACTGCCGGAGTGGTTAATCATACAAACCTTCTATAATGGTTTAGTTTTTTCTACTAAAACTATGATCGATGCAGCTGCAGGTGGAGCTTTAATGGGTAAATCATGATAGAAGAAATGACAACAAATAACTACCAATGGGCCAATGAGGGAGGTAATACAAGACGTCACGTAGGAATGATAGAAATGGACACTCTCAATATGCTGAGTGCTCAAATGAGTAATGTGATGAAGTTGCTAAGTAGACAAGGTGGAGTTGGTCCAAGTTCATCTAATGCACATGTAGCGTGTTGTTTTATATGTGGAGGTGAACATGATACTAATGAGTGTGTTGATTCTAAGCAGGTACAATTCGTCAATAATTACAATCGTAATGCTCAAAATAACCCCTACTCGAATACTTACAATCTGGGGTGGAGAAATCATCCAAACTTTGGATGGAAGGACCAAGGAAATCAACCAAGGCCAGCCAATCCACCGGGATTTCAATCAAGGCAACAACAAACTGAAACCAAACCTGGTTGGGAGATCGCTGTGGAAAAGCTTGCTAAGGTTACTTCGGATAGATTTGAGCGAGTTGAGGGGCGGCTGGACCAATTGGTTGGGATGTATAGAAATTTGGAGGTTCAAATTGGTCAAATTGACAATGTGATCAACAACAGAAACCCTAGTGAATTGCTGAGTAAAACGGAAGTGAATCCGAGAGAGCATGTCAATGCTATCACTCTTAGAAGTGGTAAAATGGTTGAGGGACCTAACTCTAGTAATTCAAGTGGTGAAAAAGATAAGGAGCAAGCATATGGAGGAGTAAAACCAAGCCAAAATGATAATGTAGTCATTAATATTGATGATCCTCCTCAATTAAATTCTAATGTAGTTCCTTTTCCTCACAGGTTGAAGAAAGATGGACAGAATTGGGAGTTTGAAAAGTTTTTCAAAATGTTTAAACAATTATACATTAACATTCCTTTCATTGATGCTATAACACAGATTCCCTCTTATGCACGTTTCTTGAAAGATATCATGTCAAGAAAGAGGAAAATTGTAGATAATGAGATGATAGCATTAACGGAAGAGTGTAGTGCATTAATTAAGAACAAACTCCCTCCTAAATTAAAAGATCCGGGAAGTTTTTCTATTCCTTGCACTATTGGTCAATTGCATTTTTCTAATGCTTTATGTGATTTAGGTGCAAGTGTGTCACTTATGCCATTATCGATTACCCGGAGGTTGGGACTTCAAGAGTTGAAAGCTACCAATATCACATTGCAGTTGGCGGATCGGTCAATCACACATCCAATTGGTATTTTGGAAAATGTGCTCATAAGGGTAAAACAATCTATAATATCAGTGGATTTTGTTGTCTTAGATATTGAGGAAGATGTGAGAATGCCAATTATTCTAGGACAACCGTTTTTAGCCACCGCACGAACTATAATTGATGTGGAAAAAGGTAAGCTTATATTATGGGTTAATGGTGAGGAATTGGAATTCAATTTGGATAATAAAGAATGTAGTATAGAGCCTATTGCTCTTGTTTCTAATATGCCATGTGATGAAAAGGTTAACCAAGAAACGAACGAAGAAGTTAAATTTATAAATGTTCTTGGTACTAACTTTCATGGTGTAGGAGCAAGGGAAGAGAAGATAAGGGTGGAAGTTGGCTTAATAAATTCGCCATTCCATGCAAAAAGTGAAAAAAAATTGAGCCAACTCGAAAAAGACAAGCAAATTCCACTCCAAGGTGAAGTCGAGCTTTATATGACAAGTCTAATACTCCTCTTTGGCATTTGAGGAAATTGGACTATGGAGATCAATGCATGGCTCACCACATGGTGGATTGGCTCAGAAGTTTCGACCCATGGGGAGAAAATCGCTCCCTAATGTTCTAAAATGATTCAACTTTTTTGAGTCGAGCAAACGACTATAAACAAAAGCGTTTGTTGGGAGGCAACCCACTAATAATATTGTATTTGTGTGTTTTTATGTGTTTCTTACATTTTGGTATGATTTAATTGACTAATTAGATGTATTTCACTTGTTTGTAGGAGGTATCGGAGTCTTAACATCCATCTTGGAGGTACATTTGAAGAACAAGTGTAAAAATGGAGGTTTTCTTACCGAATTATGTTTTAAGTGTTTAAAATTTCCATACATATATATATTGTGCATTTCAAGTATATTCAAGTGAGTTTTGGTGATAACATGTTAAAAATACTCATGGACTCATTTGATGTGCATTTAATACCCAAAGGTGCTATTTTGGTGTAAAAGTGTAAAAATGAGCAAAGAACCTCACCCCTCAATTTTCAATGAAGATGTGTTTGATGTGTTTTGAGAGGTTGGATATTGTGTTTATGGTATATTACATGTGTGTGGGAGGTTGAAATTGATAAAAATTGTTTCTAATATGTGTTTTGGAATTGGACGGAAAAGGGAGAAAATTTTTTTTGAAAACTTGCAGTGTCCATCATTAATGCAGAAAAATATAGATCCGAGCTCGGATCCGAGGTACCCAAACGGATCCAACCACGGATCCAACAATTTCCAGAAAGATTCGAGAGCTCGTCTGTGCTTCTGGTGGTGCGGATCCGAACCCTAACGGATCCGAGGTCTTTAAGAACCGATCCGTCCTCAGATCGGTTCGTGATAAGAAAGGAAACGAGGCCTCGGTTCCTCATTTTCCAGCTTTCTTCTCTTTCTCTCTCTCCGAAACCCTAGCCCTCTCCCTCTAATCTTTCATTTTATCCATCAATCATCCAATTTTTCACCAGAAAAACATCTCCCAACCTCTTTTGAGCATAAACCCTCAGTTTTCTGAATTCAAAAACATCAATTTGGTGAGTTTGATCGTCAAAACTGAATTTCGGGCCGCACCTGATTTTTTCAAATTTGGGGGTGAATTTGGACTTGTTTCTTCTGCATTTTTCATCATTATCATCCTTTAGCATCTTCCTATACATCTGAGGTAACAATTTGCAACTTCCTTTAAGATTTTATATTTCCTATTCTTGCATTTTTCTAGTTTTTGAGCATATTCTAATAATTGCTTATATGTTGAAATTCTTGTTATAAATGTGCTACATTGTACTAGAATATGTTGTTACTAATATTTTTGTGCTTAGTATAGGGAAAATTGTGGATTTGGTGATATTTTTGGTATTTTTTTTTAAATTTATTGGGCTTGAGCATTTTGTTGATTGAAACTTGAGAATTCTTGCTTTCATTGGATATTTGAATTTGTTCTAAGAAATATAAATCACTGTTGTACCAATTGAAAATGATATGCTATCATTAGAGCAAATTCAATTTGGTAAAAGGGTATGTTTCTTATTAAGTTAAGCACATTGAACCTTTTTGCTTGAAATTTCTTGTCTCTTTGAGTTATTTTGCAATTGATTTGAAGAATTGGAGCTCACTTGTATGTAAGTTGGGATTAATATGTAAGTATGATTGAGTGTGCTATATTTCTTTGGGAAGGTTGCTAGACGTCGAGAATTGTGGATGTTTTGGTAACACATATGGAAATGTGGCTTTACCAAAATGTTCCAAATCTATTGTTATAGCACATTGTCATTGATAGTCCACTTTACTTTGAAATATTATTCCATTTTTCCAATTGGCTTTAATTCTCAAATATTGGACTTATTATGTATCCTTGTTGGTAAATGTGGGAATTGGATTTGAGAGGTGTTAGGAAGTTTATTTGATTGAATTTGGGTACATTTTGGCAGGGAGTTTAGCCCTTTTACAAGGGGAAATTCTGCTGAAATTTTCTTAAATTCCTATTTAACATGTGTGAGCAAGTTTCCATGGTTTCTAATAAATACTCATCTTGTTTATAGGTACTATGGCTCGTACAAGGAGGGCTCGTATTCGTACTCCTACGCCATCGTCAAGTGAAGAACATACACCTTCTTTGCATGAGGAGTCGCCTGAGGAAGAATCTCCTTCACCTGAGCCACCACCTCGGTCTCGCCGGAAGACCGCATCCACTAGCCGCGACGAGCCTCTTCCAGATTATGACACCACTAGATTCACGTCACTCGAGAATCAACAGTGATATGAAGTAGGGTTAGATAAGGAAATTATCATTGAAAAGCACCTGGCACCGGAGGTGGATGTGCATTATCACATCTCTATGGCATTCAAGAGACTCGGATGGGAGAACATCTTTCAATTGTCCAAGCACTACTATCCCAATCTGGTCCGGGAGTTCTATGCCAATGTAGAAAACAAACAAAGTTACAGTGGCAACCTCATCGTCTCCTGGGTTCGAGGAAAGAGAGTGGCTCTAAATAGGGATACAGTCGCAAAAATCGCCAAACTCAAAAATGAAGGAGTTGATGTTAAATTGACCAAGAAGTTCAAGGCACGCGACTCTTGGCAGATGGGGGAAGCGGTAGCACGCCTAAAGGGGCAATATAGGGAGCGAGAAAGTTCGAAAAAACTCACTGTATATGCTGACTCCTTCGAGCATAGGTACCACTTGATCTTCTATCTCTTCGCCTTCAATGTGGTACCCAAAAGGAGTGGAAAACTGGAGCTCCGCAATAGTGACCTCTACTTCTTGGATAAGATGATGCATAGTGTGGGTGAGCAGTTGACTGGTATTCCTTTGCCCAGCATCATCATCAGTTACATGCAGACTACAGCTCACATGAGGGCCGGCGAGACTTGCTTTGGGTTCCCTCGACTGCTATTCCTCATTTTTGAGAAGTTCAAGGTTCCTCTTGGAATCGAGCGAGCCATTGTCACTAGGTCCGCCGAGGAGGTCAGTGCCTCGATACTAAAATCCTTGAGTATCTCTACGAATTTTGGAGCTGCTATGGTTCGAGACACTGGAGAAGCTTCAAACTCAGCTCAGCCTCCACCTCATACTCAACAGGAACCAGTAGTTCAAGAGATGGGAGCACAGCAGACTCTTCCTCCTCCCGTTCCATGACCACCACCTCCGCTGCGATTCAAGTGGCAAGAGCTCCTCAATGCCATCTGTTGTATGGAGACTCGAGTCGTCGAGCGTATTGACCAGACCGAGCGAATGATGACGGAGCGACTAGACAGACATGATCGCCGTCTTCGTGCGATCGAGAACCATTTCCATATCTGCCGGTCGCCTACTCCGACACCTCAGCAGGAGGAGGAACATATTGGTACATCACAGGGTCTTCATGGAACTGAGAATGCAGTAGACCCTCGTTCTGAGCAGCCATGAAGATCTTTAGCTGATTACATCTTTTGTTGCTTTATTTTTCTTTTATTGTGTTCGGTTTAAACTTTGTCGTTTTCATATTGGATTCTCTTGTGCTACTTATGATTTTTCGTACTCTTTTGTTTCATTGTGGACAGAATTTGGATGATCGTGAGGATTAATGGCTTCAAATTGAATCACCACTTATTTTGAGGGAAGTTTCAGTTTCTATTACCTTCTTCACAATGAGGACATTGTTAAATTTAAGTGTGGGGAAGGGATTACTTTATCTTATGGATGGTTGTGTTTTGAAATGCATGATTTGAGTTGTCTATGGCTTAAAAATGTTGAAATTATATTTGAAAAAATTGTCTTGAAGGTAATTTTCTTGAAATTGAGGCTGTTGGCAGGGAGTTTTGTCCAATTATATAGGGAAACTCTGTCAAAATTTTTCTAAAATATTTTTCAATATTTCATTGCAATTCTTTCAAATAATGGCCAAAATATTCAAATTTAAGTGTCTAATTCTTCCATTGAATAAAATGTTGTATGTATTTTGAGAAAGTTTAGTCCTTATTTGACTTGGAATGAATTATTATGCAATTAAGATTTTTACATTTTAGAAAGTATATTTAGTTAAATAAGAAAAATTATGCTTAGAATTTTGCACGTTTAATGATATTTCTTATTTTTACTTAATTTTATAAGTAAGTAATTGATATAGTCAAGAAAAGACCAGATTCTTCCTTTAATTATGCTTAGAGGGAAAAGAAAAAAAAATTATTGTAAAAAAAAAGAAGAAATTATTTTCTACTCCAATGATTCACATATTGAGTAATCGGGGGTTGGCATTTACAAATATCGACATTCGCGTAAAAAGGTATTGGGAATTAAGAGTATGCTTAACAATTTGAATAAGTGAAATGTTGAGTAACCGGAAATCTTCACCTAAAAGTGTCAATTTTTGCGTAAAAAGATATTTCTACTATTTAAGTAAAATGAAGTATGAATAAATCCCTCTTAGTTATGAAAATTTTGATAGTTATGGGATGAGGAAGGCCATATAAATGACTATGTGATTTGATTATTTGTGGAATTAGAATAAAACGAGAGATTGAGTTGAATTTGTTGAAATTAAGGTATAATTATTTTTATTTAATTGAATATTATGAGTATTTAATGTAATCTGAGAAATGACACAATGATTGGTTTTTAGGTTTTGAGGAATTAAATTTAACAAAAGTATATATTGTTTTATCTTGGATTATTGTGGTAGCTATGTGTGCAATTGCTTGAGGGCAAGCAATGATTTAAGTGTGGGGGAATTTGATAAGTGAATATTTAACGTATATTTTGTATAAGTTTGGCATGAATTTTTGGTATGTTTTGAGAAGATTAAAGCCATATTTGAACTTTATTGGTGATAATTGCTTAAATATTGTTTAAGTGTTCAAAACTTAATAAATGAGTTGATTAATGCGTTAATTTTGTAAAATTGTGAAGGATATTGATGTATGAAATTCATGCACGAGCTGAAAGAAGTGTAAAGATCGTCCTGAGGATAAAGTACAAGAGAAACTAGGAGCAAAAATGAAGGAAAAAGGAAAGAAGTGAAAAACTGGAAATTTAATGGCACGGATCCGAGCTCGGATCCGTGAGAGCAAAGAGGGATCCGAGCCCTCGTCTGTACTTCTGGCGGAGTGTATCCGAGGTCAGACGATCGGACCTTGGATCTATCATGGAAAGTCCTCGGATCCTAAAGATCCGAGCTCAGATCCGTTTTCACCCCTCGGATCTGTCTCTCTCTTCAGCAAGTGGTACAACCGTTTTTCTTTACCTTTCTCACAACTTTTCCAGCTATTTTGAGGGACAAAAATCGGTGATACATACTTCTGCAATAAAAGAGAAGACCAAATGAGTTGTATACAAAAGGAAACATCATATCTTTGACTTCTTTTTACAAAATCTGAGTGGAGAAAATTATTAAGTGAGAGGAATAGACTTTCTACCACCTTTTATGCAGAGACACAAGGGAGAAGCAGAACAGAACTTACGTAACTAGTTTTCCTTCTTGTAACTAGTTTTCTCTCTAGTTAGGAGTTCTTGGAAAAGCATTTGGAGTTTTTACTTGTAATTATATTGTGTAAGAGTATAGCAGGAATTGGAGAGCTTCACTTTCAATTGGCTAAGCTTTCTTTTATCTTTCTTGTACTTGTACTTTATGATGTTTGACATTAATAAACTTGTGAATTTGATTGTTAAATCATTCATGAGTAGTTAAACTTCTTAATCTAGGGAGTAGATGAAACTTATGGTTAAATAATATGAATTGAATGGGATTTACACTTGTTATATCTTGTATTAACTTGTCTACTTGTGTAGCTATGATTACTTGTTATTGATTGATCACCAATAGCATGTTTATAGTTGTTATTGTTCAATGAGAATTGATAGTAGCAATGGAAAAACATGAGTAGAGCTTAAGTTGTATGTTCATGAAAATAGATATACATTTAAGTGGATTACTTAGCATTTCATAAAAGAAAACAGAGGAGTATTAGTATTTCACCATGAAAATAGGGAAAACTAAACTACTCTAGGCCATTTCATCATGAGAATGAGACTTGGTAATTTTGGAAATGAATCTCTGGTTAAACAAGAATAATAACAGGAGGTAAATCCATTCATTTGTATGTTTATGCCATAAGTGAAATCTACATCCCTAGAGTCTTTCTTGAGTAAGAATTCTTCATTTGCATTTACCATTTGTTAAACTAGATTTCAGATCAGATTTGTAGATTATAGCAATAAATTTTCTCTGCTCAATTTTATTGTAAGTCTAAATAATAGAGAAAAATAAGGGTCTAGTACTTATTTAAATTGCTCCTCGTGGGATCGGCCTGATACATACCCTACACTACAATTTCGGCCTGTATACGTGCAGCTAACGAGTATAAAATCGGATTTAAACTTGCATTGATATAAAAATCCCGTCAGTTGGGGTTGAGGTTGGGTCAGTGGTGGAATTGGTGGCTTCAGGTGATGGAGTGGGTGGTGGAGGGAAAGAGCTCGCAAGTTTAGTTCATGTTAGATAATGCGACCACGGCAAAGCCGAAGATTTACAATTGCCTTTGTTTTCATGGATGTACAGTAACAAGTTTGGGAAGAAGATGATGAAAATAAAAAGGGAATAAAGAAAAAGACAGAAGGAAAAGGAAGTACAGTAGAAGGGAAGAACAAAAAAAAGAGAAAGAAAGAAAAGGGAAAAAATTGAGGGTAATATAGACATTTAAAACAATTTCGTTAGTTTGAATAATTTTCGTCTAAGTTCCAGATAAGTCCAAAATATAATGGGGTTATGCGAGAGTTTTTAATAATAAGGAGCTATCGTGATTGAATCTCAAATCATAAGGGAATTTTCTGTATTTTACCCTAAATCTTTCCACGTTGAAATATGAGTACAAAATTTAGTTTGATTTTTTATTTAATCATATTTTTTAAGACAAGAAATCAAAGCCCAAGCTTTCATTATAATGTATCATGTATGGTTTACAATTGGTTTTTTTTTTTGGTTTGGTGCCCAAGTTTCAATTAATGTATGGTCTACATGTATAGGCTTTGTTAAAAAAAACAAAAGAATAAATACTAGTGAAAGGATAATGTGTTTGTAAATACTGTTGCAACTTTTGTTTAGCTTTATATTCAGAATGATTTTTTAACCAAGTTGTTAATACAGCTAAATTATACTTAACCTAACATGTTAATACAAATAGTCATAATTAATGTGCCCTCAACAGTTAGACATTTCTCAAATTAACTACAATTTTTTACAAAACTGATAGTGAACTCTCATATGGGCACTTATTAGCGAA